AAAAAAAAAAAAAAAAAGAAAAAGACACCGGCCCTTTTTACCAAGGGTGGCTTTGGAGTGGTGTTTCTTTTTTTTTTTTTCTTTTTCTTCATTAGTATTATCATTGTTAATTTTCAACAGAAAGAGGTGTTACAAGCCCAAAAATGAGCAAAGCAGGTACCTACCTCGCCCAGGCGTTGTACCAGGAGTGAAGCCCTTCCCCGCAGGGTGTTGTGTTTCCTCACAAACACCCCAAAAACATGGCTCTGCAGGAACCAGCCCCATAAATTCATCTTCGCTTGTGTGCAATTCTCTTGCTCTTCTTTCCTTTCCCACCTCCTGGTCTTTCCTGGTCCATCAGCTGTCTCTGATGGAAGCATGGGGCATCTTTCAAACTTGAAAACATCCACTGCTTGTCTCCTGCCGAATTTTTACCAGCATGTGGAAAAAGAGGTGTTACAAGCCCAAAAATGAGCAAAGCAGGTACCTACCTCGCCCAGGCGTTGTACCAGGAGTGAAGCCCTTCCCCGCAGGGCTCTGTGTTTCCTTAGAAATGCACCAAAAACGCGGCTCTGCAGGAACCAGCCCCATAAATTCATCTTCGCTTGTGTGCAATTCTCTTGCTCTTCTTTCCTTTCCCACCTCCTGGTCTTTCCTGGTCCATCAGCTGTCTCTGATGGAAGCGTGGGGCATCTTTCAAACTTGAAAACATCCTGCTGAATTTTTACCAGCACGTGGAAAGCGAGGCTCTGAGCCAGCTGCGAGGGGAGGGAAAAAGGAGTGGGGGGGAAGAGGATGCAGACAGAGAAAGGAAAAATTTTGCTCATAAAAATGGTGATGACGCTGGTTTACAATCCCCGATTTCAATTTGTCATACGTTCTTTTTCTTCCTCTCCCACCTCCTGGTCTTTCCTGGTCCATCAGCTGTCTCTGATGGAAGCGTGGGGCATCTTTCAAACTTGAAAACATCCTGCTGAATTTTTACCAGCACGTGGAAAGCGAGGCTCTGAGCCAGCTGCGAGGGGAGGGAAAAAGGAGTGGGGGGGAAGAGGATGCAGACAGAGAAAGGAAAAATTTTGCTCATAAAAATGGTGATGACGCTGGTTTACAATCCCCGATTTCAATTTGTCATACGTTCTTTTTCTTCCTCTCTAAAAAAAAAAAAAAAAAAGAAAGAAAAAGGGATACTGGTCTGGGTACATTAAGTGAGGTATCAAGTAAAATACATATAAAAGGAACAGAAAATGATCATGAGAGGCTGGATCATGAGAGGCTGGGAGCGGGGGAGGCGAGAAGAGAAGGAAAAGCAAACGTGTGTAAGTAAAAATGTCTACTGCGGAATTTTTCAGGTGTAAAATTTCCTGGTACTATTTATTTATACATGGGAGCTCAAATAACTCACGGGATGTCACAAAGCCAGCCAAGCAGCTGATTCAAAGGGGTTACAATTTTGATTGAAATGGAAGTTTGCTTTCTTTTCGTCTTTTTTTTTTTTTTCTTTTCCCCTCTCTCTCCAAGCTGTGCACACTCTATATAATTTACATATATTTTTAATTAAAAGTAAATTCTAATTAACAAAAGAGGTATACCTGTGTGTCAGCAACTGAGAATGCGGGTGTGCATGCGTGGGAGGGGTTATGGACAGGTATCCAAAGCCTCGTAGCTAAGAAGAAGAAGAAGAAAGAAATCCCTCCCAGGCTACTCCTTCCTATTCTTGTGTGCCAATTTATGTCTAAATAAATACCACATGCTCTCAACGGCAAGGGACCTGCCCACCTATTTTTAATTTTTTAAAATGATTTCGGGGTGGATTGTTTTGGTCCTTTCTGCTGGGTAGCCCGTAAGTTTGATTTGTGTTTATTTCTGGTCCCAGCTGAGAAGGTTGTTGGGCAGCGATGGGTTGAGGCTGACACTGCTGTGTGTTTCTCCACTACAAAACTGCGTCCCCCAGGTCCTTCCCACTCAACCCGTCCCCAGGGGAGATGTTCTCCTGGGATCATCTTCCCATTGAGGCAGATTTAGAAGCGACCTTGGGAATCCAGGTGGGTGCTGGGATGGCACCCGGAAGCCCTTGTGGAGGTGGAGCTGCCCCCTGTTCCCACATGGATGGGGTCGGTGGGTGATGTCTGGCCCAGGGTAGGTGTGGAGCCATGTCCCAACCTCAGTGGAGGAGGAGAGGATGCTGGATGCTTCGCGGATTGGAAGATGGGAAAATCAGCTCCAGAGGAATAAAGAGATTGCACCTAAGAAGCCCAGCAGAAAGGTCTCCTCCACGTGGCTGGTGAACCATGGCCACCCCAGGGAGCAGCATGGCCAGGTCTGGGAACAAACAAGAAGGTGTCCCCAGCCTGTCCCATCAGCAGCAGCTCCTCTGGCAGCAGCAGTGGCCATCAGCCTTGGTGATCTCCTGTGCACCAGAGATCTAGGGACACTTTGCCAAGTGATTAGGATTAGTGGAGCCCCTTCATGGGTGACACTCCCACCCAGCTGTCCCATGGCAGGTAGGACCTGGGGGACAATGTCTTTTAGGGCCATCCCAGCAGTGGCCTCAACTCAGCTTTCCTCCTTTGGCTGGCTCTGCTTTTACTGTCTTCTGCTCCCAACAACCGGGTTTCATAAATGTTGGGTTGGACAACGCAATGCTGCGCGACCCCGGGTGCTCGCTCTGGGTATGGACCATATTTACAGGCAGAAGGAGACGTAGGCATCGTGTAACCCTTCTGTGGGCACAGCTGGGACCTCGAGTTGTTCACAAAGCTGTTTGTCTTCCTGCAGCCACCCCCAGGGAGTTACTCAAACGTTGAGTTGCTCAGTAAATCACATGCTGTTCCTCCGGAATATGCAGTTGTCCAAGATTAATGACCGAGTAAATTGCCTTTTGAGTTAAGGCATAAGGAACTACACTGTACTTAGCTGTCAATTACATTGTACTTTCCAGGCTTCGTTATCCCACTGCTAATCATGTAATCATCTTATCACTATATGGTAATTTACATGTAATTAAATGGCCAGTGGTTACTCTCTAAGTAAAGAGGTCTTACCAGAAATGTGTGCCATGCATCTCAAAGAGTATTAAGGAAACTAAACCCACATGGTAAATTATTTCTCAGGCTTCAGAAGGAAAGCCTCAAGCTTTCAACTTGACTAATTTCCTCTGAGTTCCTTGCATTATTTTTTGGGAAAGCTGAGGCTCTTTGATGGAGTCTGCGATGCCGCGATGGGCTCTGATCACTGGGTTTTGCCTGCTGGAAGGCCAGGTAGGTCCCTGGGGACACAGCTTTGTGGAGCCACATCAGCACGGGGAGCAAGGAGGCCATCAGTGGCAGGAGGATGGACCTCTCACAACACAAAATCTGGGATGAAGGCAAAGTTGGGTGGGAGGATGCAATATAGCCGCCTCCTCCTCTTCTTGAAGAGTTTGTTGCTGAATACTGCTTCAATATGGCATTTCTGGGCTGTGGTGGCCCAGTTGTGCTGTATGAGCACGGCCTGCTCTTCCATTTCAATGACCAGGACTGTGAGAGGTCAGACAGGACGTGAAAGAAAATAGGTGACTTGTTCAAAGGCCACTGGTGACTCGCAGGCTGGATGTGAACGTGCCTGGTCTATGTTGAGCCTTGAGAAACAGCTTGTACTTCTTCCCAACTGGTCCAGAACAATACTGGGAGCCACCAAGGAGGAGGGTGTTCTCTCCCTTTCATTCTGATTTTATGTTTCAAAGCGCCTGAAGTGATTTCCTTCATTTCTCTTCTTACAGACTTAGTCCTTAGCAGAGTATGATAATGATGACAACAACAATAAACAAACAAACAAAAAAACTAGGGAAAAAATTATATAGGAGTCACTGTCATTGAAAGACTTGGACAAAAGAGGTTGCAAAATTCACCCTGTTCAGAGCTAAACTGGCAATTCATCTGTAAGCGGACTTGAAACTTGAGGAAGACCATCCCAGCATGGTACAAGGGACCAAGCACGGCCACCACCAGCCTTTCCCTTCTTCCCTACAAGCCCCAGGAGCCACAAAAAAAAAATCCTCAGCATTGCCTGGTGGTTTCCCATAAGCATCACTGAGGATGCTGGGGGTGGGCTGGACCTGGGGTGCTTCTGCCATGGGCCTGAGGATGGGTATGGTGGAAGAGTCCAAAAGTGTTGGACTTGCTGGGGGGTGAACCATGGGCGAGGAGGCAGCTGGGCTCCAAAAGGAACCCCAGAAAAGCCAGTGGAGGAGGAAGGATGGTGTGGTGGGTGGAGAAGACGGTGGCCCATCCTCCTCCTCATGGGCAGGGGACCTCCTTGCCTCAAACCTCTCCCTTTTGGTGAGGAGCCTTGGAGCAAGCTCACTGCTCTGGCAGCGTGGAAAGCAGCCGTGAAACATCACCAGGCAGAAGAAAACCTTCAGACCTTTAGGGCTTTATAGATGAACCATATTAAATAAGAGCAGGCTGCACAGTTCCTTCAAGTGGAGAAGGAGAGAAAGAAACCCAACCTCTGCTAAAAACATCTTTTAAAGAGTGAATGTAAATTCCCAGGCTGCGGTCGCAATGCTGTTTTTTCAGCTGCCTTCCTGGGCTAAAATACTCCCTGCAGTTACCGTGGCTCGTACCTGGGGAGGCTACGGATGCCCTGAGCAGGCACAGAGACCTCTTTGTCTGCCCCTATCAGCTCGCCTCCACTTTTTAAGCGTCAACAGCCAGGATGCTGGGTGGTTTTGGGAGGTGGCTTTGCCCCACCGTGGTACCATGGGGCTCAGCAGCTCCCAAACCTGCACTGGTGAGGTTTTCCCTAGGGACAAGGATGCTCAAGAGGGGCAAATTCACCCCTCTCCTGCTCCTGGTTGCGCTCCCAGGGCAGAGCCGACCTCCCAAAAACTGCTTTTGTGCCTCGAGGGCTGAGGGGAAAAAAATATCCCAGAGCCTCAAGATTCTTGCTCATAAATCCAGCCCACAATATCATAGATTTTACGGTGCTGCCAACTCTGACAATTTTATGATGGGTCTCATGTGATTTGCAAAAGTGGTTTGTTTTTGGTTTTTTTCCCCCCCTTTTTTTTTTCCTCTTAAAGTTTCCAGTTCCTGGAGTCCTTGATTATATGAAACTCTCAGGGGATTCTGAGTCTTCCCCCTGGCTCCCATGTTTTTAATTCTTTGTTGGGTTTTAGGATATATAATAAAGTTGGAAATTTTACCGGAGAGGAAAGCGAGGCAGAGAAAAGAAATGGCTTGTCTGGAGGTGGGACGAGAACTCATCACCAGACAAAAAATATTTTGCCTTTTTTTATTTTCTTTTGAGCTCTCACTGGAAAAGTGGATGCCTTTGCTGCATTTTTTTAAGTAATAAAATTTTCAAAGTTTTAAGCGAATGGAAAATATTCAGAAAGTGGCTTGAATAAATTCCCACCCCCAAAAAGGAGAAATATTTTGTTTACATTTAAAAGATTTTACTCTTTTGAAATTTCCAAGGAAATTTTTCAACCTGAAGTAATTTCAGAGTGAAATACTGGTGTGTTTCGTTTGGAACCCACCACACCCGGTGGCTCCGATGTCTTCTCCTTCCTTTGTTTGGTTGAAACAAACCCTGCAGCTTCGGCGCCTGGTTCTGACTGTGCTTTGCTGAGGGTTTTTGCAGGATTTACCCTGCACCTGCGCGGACTCAGCTACAGTTAAGTCTAGTTAAAAGTCAGCAAGTGGTTGCCATGGTTCCTTAATGAGAAGAATAAATAAATTTCGGTGTCAATCAGAAGGGCTGGTGGTGGGGCAACGCTGCTGGTTTGAGCACCCTGGTCAGCTGGGCTTTTAGCATCACCCCTCCTCTGGGAGTCACAGAGTTGTTCAGGTTGGAAGGGATCTTTCAGATCAATGAGTCCGACCATCAATCTAACGCTGACAAACCCCACCA